TGAGTAGGGTTAAGCATTTGCAGCATGCTAGGAGTATTGGGCTGAAGGATGATATTAGCATAGATTAGATAGTATTAGAAACGTGTAATAGATAAATGTAATTAACATTTGATGATTAAATAAAGGAGTTTTATTTATAAGTAATGTTACTGTCTTATGTTAATTGTTTAACTATTGTTTCACTTTGCATGTTTTGACTTCCAGAATAATTGAGTTTATTAAGAATAATCGAATTGTTCAAATAGTCCACAATCGTTCATATGTCGGAAGTAGATATGAATGAAGATTGTCATGAATAGGTATGTAGAGTGTCTAAATGGTGTTAGACATAGCAAAAGATTGTTGCAACGTTCATGAGTGCTTATGAACTAGGTTTGAGCATTGGAACAAACCCGCGCTTGCTGGAATCACCTTATGGAATGTGATAGTAATGGGTGATCGCAAGACGATAATATCATATAGTCTTAAAACCTAGATATATGGTTTGTTATTGGTTAATTGATTGTACATTGATAATGCGAAAATACATTGGTAACTCGATGTTATAAAACGCATTGTTGTGTGTAGTTGGTTAATGAATAAGTAAATGCATATAAGTCGAAGTTTATCTGTAACTTTTATCCTAAGAAGGAAAAAGTGATATCTCGGCCGCTCGATGATTTGATTTGACTAATGCGCCAAGCCCGGTCAGAACTGAATTGATGTGTTCGATTAAGTTCTATGTCAAATAAATCGGAAATTGAGAAACCAAATGCTAGACTAACTATTCCATAGTATTGTCAGCATGATATCTAACAGAGGACTGTACGATCCCTTATCTGAAGGACAAGATTGATTAGATCAGAGTTTGACAGCACCTTTGAGAGCTACGATTGCAAATCGGAATGTACCTGCGCATATAGTTACTAGACTTATCCAAGTGGGAGACTGTTGGAATAGTGTCTAAGGCTGCAACTATATTAGGCAAGTATTTGACCCGATTGTGCATGGTTCTTTTAGGTTTCCTTCACCATAGCAACTTGGTAGGATGATTTATTATGAGAGAATAGATATTAAGGAATAATAATATAGCTATTTGATTAATATAAGTCATAGATTAATTAGTATTAATTTGGTGACTTAAGGAGATTAATTAAATAAGAGGGTATAAACTGTCAATTGTTTGATAGTTACACTTTAGACTGTAAATCCTTATTGGATAGAGGATGGATGAATTCTAGGGCTTGGGATAGCCTCAAATTCGTCCAAGGGTTATCCAAAGTAAGGATTAGGATCACTTAAAGTTTAAGTTATCCAATTAGGGTTTAAGCTGTAACCCTTAAGGAGTCTACAAGTATAAATAGACCCTATGGATGAAGGAATTCGACACATCTTCAAAAGTAAGGATACTCTGGTCGAATTCCATCCCCTCTCCTCTCTCTCAAATCATCCTATTTGCTAGTTGGTGTTTGTAAGCCATTAGAGGAGTGACAATTGTGACTCTAGAGCTCCAAGACAACAAGATCAAACAAGAGAATCAAAGGTATGTTTCTAGATCTGTTTTTGTGTGGTTCTTACACCTAATATGTCATTAGAAGCCTTGGATTGAAAGCATGTTTAATAGAGAAACCTAGATCCGAGCATTAGGGTTTGTATGCGCACTTAGGAATGTTCTTATGTACAAAACCCATCAGTTATGTCAGATCTTGAATCTGATTAATGGCTTAGAGTCATGAACATGAGATGTAATTCATGTATGATAATCAAGTATGGCCTTGACTGAACTTTCTCTCTATATCAAGGCTAAAAGGGGTAAATGATTCTTCTAGAAAGTATACACTACATGGATAACTATACACATTTAAAGCAAGACTTGTTATAAAGGATTTTCTCATACTCATGTCACTGACTATGATCCTTATCATACTCATGACATTGACTATGATCAAACATTTTTCACAAGTACCTCGATTAGATCAATAAGGATATTGTTTACTATAAATCCATATTCTTAATATGAGATATAGCAAATAGATTTCAAGAAAGACCTTTTTTCTTAATAAATATATACTAGAAGATATCTATATAGATTAGCGTGGAGGTTTTCTATATCCATGTTATCCTACTTGCCTATTGATGTTGAGGGAAGAAATCTAATTAGGTCCCGTTAAAGTTGATCACTAGAGGAAGACAAGAGTATATTGAAAGTAAAAGGCTCATATCTACCCTTGTTAATGTATTCCCTAGTTGTTAAAATTTTCTCAACCATTTTTAGTCAATTATAAACCCTCTATTGTCATTACAAGTATCTTAAAAAGAAGTTAGTTTGATCCTCATGAATAACAAGTGAAGGTTGTGAGTCTTAAATGAGCCCTTTAATATAAAATAGATAACAGTTGCATAAGAGAGATGGTAATTTTAAATCTCTATGCATCAAATACAGATTACTAGTCAAAAGTGAGGTTCCATTAAGATAACATTAATGCTCTTATTAACAATTTCATGAGATATTATAAATATTAACACCTCATGAATGATATAAATATCATGTGAAGAGTTGTCTATTTGCTATTGTCGAAAAACACAAATCCATGAATGACTTAAGGTAGTCGGAGTGGCTCGGAAATAGGTCATGTGGGTTAGGTGTACCGGCAGTACCAACGGGTGGCTCCTCCGAGCTTTTTGTGGTACCGCTGACAAGCCCTCAGGCGAGTAGGAGAACTTATGATAAATGCTTGTTTCCTTCTTCCCCTCTTTGACCGGTGAAAAAAAAAACTTATATATAAAACTATCACAACTCATTTCATTCTATCTCAATTTCATTTTATTTTCTCTCAGTTCTATTCCAATATTCTTCAATTTCATTCATTTTCTCCAACTTTCCAAGAAAATGAATTTAAACATTCGTAAAATATTGATGGAACATATCATAGACGATTTGTCTTCATGATGAAACTAACAACGCTAATTCATTTGTTGCATTATCTCATTATGCACAACTTTTGTATCAGAATAATGTCAGTTCAAGCATCATTCATATGAGAAATTTAATCCACAGAGATCGTATAAAGGTTGGACAACTACTAATTTGACATTACTTGGTTGAAGATTCAACTTTTGTGAATGATCAATTTCATAGAAGGTCATGTATGAGCAATTGTTTGTTTACGTGTATCCATGGTGAACGGGAAAGTGGTTATCCTTATTTTCAAACATAATATAGAACAAGTGATTTACGAAGTTTCAGTACGCTTCAAAAATAAACATCCGCAGTATGTCAAATAACGTACGTTCACAACCCAGACTCATTAGATGAGTATTTATATATGTCAAAAAGAACATCACGTGGAAGTCTTCCAAACTTCTGTCTTGGTGTTATCAAATTGTATAAGTGTTATCAAAATGTATGAGGATCGATATGTGTCATGTAACATCCACTGACATTCAACTGTTGTATCAAACACACGAAACATGCATGAATTCCCTTAAATGTTTTATAGCATCGATTGCACATATTGGAATTGAATGAATTGTCCAACTGAACTGAAAAGCCAATACATAAGGGCTAACCATGGGTATTCAACAATGATACCAGAAGGGGTGGCCTTACAACTTTATTGTGCATTTTTTTTGTTTTTTTGTTTTTTTTTTTTGTACTAGTGTTTTTAATTTAAAAAATGTTATGTTTTATTTAATTTTTCATTTTCTAATTAAATTAAATTAAAAATAGTGATATGGCAAATAAGTTGGAAATTTTTTTATTTTTATGTGTTTTGAGTTGAAAAAATATGAAAGAAAAAAAATATAAAAAAAATCTATATGAAACTGATGTGACAATGGATTGGAAGAGTTATGTTCCTACCACCTTGATGAAATCTTACAATGTTTATTGTTATTTTCTTAAAATTCTAGAAAAAATTGGTTTTGTTGCGACAATGACCTCAAAATATAATATTTTAGTTAATAAATCTTTTTTTAAACATTAGAAACTGATTATTATAACATCAACTCAAAATCTTTAAAGAATTAATTTAGTACCATACTTCCAAACCGCCGGTATGTGTAATTATGTATTTTATGAAAATGCATATACTTTTAAGTTATTTTAATAGTGAGTGTGACTTGTAAACAAACAAGAACAAGATGATACAAAGTGATTTGATGGATACAACTACGATTCGAGACAAATTCAATTTATAGTTAAAAATCCAATGTATCTATTTAGGGTATGAGCGTATATGGATATGCAATTCTTAACTTATACTATAACGATTCAAAAATCAGGTTTAGTAAATCAATATCATATATTTATCGGTGACTATCAATTTCTTTTAAGTGAATAATTAAGTTTAAAAAAGGTTAAATACCATGGCATGATGGTGATTGAAACACCACTTACTAATTTTTCACATTTTATATGTCTCTTAAAAACTTATTATGTTATCATTTATTACAAATAAATTGATTGAGACAGCCAATAGTATATTTAGTGACAATTATTTTTAAGTGGGCCAACCTTTATTAATATAAGTTTGTGATGGCTCCACGATCAGCCCAGTTTAAATTTGCAATTAAAGCTTGAGCACACGTGTTGGGCTTCAATTTCATTGGCCCACTTTCTCAAGGTCCACTGTAATAAATAATGAAAAGTCTACATTATCTTTGTTAGGCTTCAATTTTAAGGTCCCACTTTCTTTATTCTTATAGTAAACCTAAATAATATTTATTTGGTTTATATTATGAATAAATGTCTTTTTACTTTTTAATACTTTCACAAAAGAGTGGGCCCGGAGATCATATTGAACAGAAAATAGCCCAACTACAACAGTAACAATGCAGCAAAACATTTGCATACAAATCCATAAAAACCCTAAAAAAATAAAAATAAAAATAAAAAAACGAATTCCTACAATTTTCACCATTTTACCAACTAACCAACAACCACCCTTCCCCACCAACGAAAACATTTTCATTTTCCACCCAAAAACCCGGGAAGGGCAAAACCGTCATTTCACTTCACTTCACTTAATAGTAATATACCGATTCGTCCCGTGTTTCGCCCAATAGTTTTTCAAGTCAACCGGAACCGACAAGTCATGGCCTTGTGCCGCCAGCCGACTAAGCAACCTAGTGAACACGGTCCCGCTCATTTTCCGGCCACCCATTCGAGAATGCCGCTTGTTAGGCATCTGAGGGAGCGGATACACCGAAATAGTGGTGGTGCAACACGACGACTGCCACCCACCGCTACCCCACTTGTAGCACTGCCGCCCAACTCCGGTACACGAACAAATCGGAATCGGCATCGTCGATTCATCAAAATTAATTTGATCCATCAATCCAAGTTCTTGCGCGTCCCATTCCGCCTTCGATCCATCCGTTGTCACATTCCGATTCAAATCCTCCCCGACTTTCTTCTGCTTCTTCAACCTCGAACCACCACCGCCGCCGCCAGAACCGCCGTTTCCGCCGGATTTTCTCTCTTTGACCGATTTTGACTTGGCGACGGTGGCTTCGGAGGGGACGATGGTGATCGGGAAGGCTTCGGTGATGTTCGGGTTCTGGTCGTGTCGGTATGAGGACGGCGGAGGGTGGTGGTGGGTGGTGGCGGTGCGTTTGGAGGCTCGTTGGAGGTGGTTGTTCATGGTGGTTTCTTGGAACCGGAGAGCGGCGATTGCGTTATCGCGTTCCCTTATGGCGTCATTGCGATCCGCTATGGCGGCGTCGCGTTGTTGGATGGCCATATCGCGTTCTTCTAACGCGGATTTTTTTTCGGAAAGCGCGCGGTCGCGTTCTTCGATTGCCGTGTCTCGTTCCGACACAATGTGCATGATTTTTCGGTTCATTAGGAGGGCGTTTTGGTCTTTTACTTGGTATTGTTGCGGCATCATGTTCCACTACAAAAAAAAATGAAAATTACATTACTACCTTTCACAATAGCTACCAATATGAGCAATGAACTTCATTTTTCAAAGAAATGTAATGTAATATTTGAAGGGTATTTTGGACATTTACCTGAGGATGAACGCCTTTGTAGTAATCTACCCTATGGCCACCTTTTTCACGATGCCCACCATCATCCATCCTGGGCCCACTTAACAAGAATGAAGATGGATCGATTCAGAAACCACTGTGCTATGAATTTAAAATCTGATTTAACTGATTACCCTCATATTGCCCTGTATCATAGATGAAGTGTAAAACATGTTTAAATTTTAATTCATGTGTTAACTGAAGAGTAGATTTGGCTGTTAAATGTTTTATTTTGCTTTTAATTTGAGATAAGTAACTTTGAAGAGCTTAAACTCAAGTTTCTCATAAAAGTTAGCGAATCCGCATTAATTCATCAAAAGTTCACAAACCCCTTTCTTTTTTCCTATTATGTATTCACATTAAAAATAGACATAAAAGAATGCAGAACTAATTCCGATAGCTTTAAATTTATTGTAATTGAAGTATACATTGAGTTCCAGAACAAGAAATAGCTAATAACCACAAAAACAGACCTAGAAACAATGATCAACTTTTATCGACAACAAGGCATTGATGTTGTTGTAGCACTGTTTTCACACAAAAACTGAAGTGTTGTCTAGATAAACAATGTCTAAAAGTATTTGATAAGATGCAATGTAGTTTTAGATCTAATTCATTCTATGAAGTAAGATCCACGTGAGCAACCTAATGCAAGATTTCACATCCATGATGCTTATAAGTTATAACCTAGAGAACAATGTTAGGTGTCATGTCTTATGCTAAAGCAATCTATCTTACTATAGATTATAGAAAGCAGCTGCTAGTTGATGTGCCTCCTTCCAAGATTCAACAATGATATCAATTTCATCCAACCATGTCCCAATTTGGAAGGATGAATCATCTTGAAACGTTACTGGTTTCCTGTGTGATGGAGATAGAGTAGAAGGATAATAGCCTCAAAAGCTTGTAAGGTTTTTGGTGAATGGTGATCTATCGGCTACATTCACTCTTGAAGAAACCCAAGAACAATATTCAAAATCCAGATAAGAGGGCTAAATTAGGAATGGCGACATGCGCATGGCCTTAAAATACAATAAACGACAACACAAATGCACAAATTACTAAAATCAGAAGTAAATTATCTAGAAACAACAATACTAAAACCACGACACTCCAGTGTAGATCATAAAGCGGTGAAAAAAGGAAATCAGACAATAGATTGATGCAGTTCAAGTGAAAGAAGTACATATGTTCTTCATTTGATTTGTGGAACTTTTAGTCTAGATCAACGATACTGTCCCGCTGGGAATTTCGGTAGATGTTGGAAACTTTTAGGGATTTTCCAGAGATCCAAAAAGTCGCGATTTAAGTTCATGCTACTTCCACTAGAGGAGTCTGTAAACAAAAAAACAAAAGTAAAACTCCGAAATTCGAAGATAGAACTTACGGATATTGAAGAAGAAGAAGATGACGACGATGATGTAGCTATCGAAGGGCCACCGTTAAGGGATATCGCCGCCAGATGAAAAGCCCTACTTTTTGGTTTTGAATCCACACCAGTTTAGAGAGAGAGAGAGAGAGAGAGAGAGAGAGAGAGAGAGACCTTTCTACTCGAAATATTTTAGATTTTGTTTTTAGAACCATGTGTTGTTGTTCATAATCATCACAATCTGATATGGGTGTGCATAGGCCGGAATCAACAAAACCGGATTCGAATTGGGGAAAGGTTAGGTCCTCCAACAAATTATAGACCGTCATCATATCTAAGTTCATTTTATGAGGTTGTTATCTTAGTTGATAGACCCGTAGAAATAAGACTCAAAATATGGTTTGAAGATATGATTTTTGAAATTCGTTTTTAAATTTTATTTTGATACAATATAAATAATTGATTTTTTGATTGTTGGAGAAATCGATAATTGAAAGTAGAATGCTATAATTGAAAAAAAATGAAAGTAAAATGTTATAATCGACATCAAAATGAAAGTTGAGTGTTATAATTGAAAAAATGAAACAAAAATTTTATAATCGATTTAATTTGAAAGTAAAATGTTATAATTAGAAAAGCAATGAAGATAAAGTGTTATAATCAACATTAACATGAAAACTAAATGATATAATAGACAATAACATGAAAAGACTTCATTAATAACTTTGAAATATCAGATACTTCATTACATGCACATGAGATTTCAAGAGAGTTGGAAACCGAAAAGGTTGGTGAAATTCGGTTGTTTATGTCAATTGGACAGCCTATGGTGTAGAGGTCGAAATTAGTTGTGACGTATCGAAATATTCTTAGTTATTTGTTAGTGTCGAAGTCAGTGATGTATGTATTGTATAAGGGCACTTTGTTTTGTCGAAGTGTTATGGTTTAGCCCTTGTGTATTTTTTGTTCGTCGTTCCTATAAATAGGGATAGATGTTAGAGTTAGAGTAACTTTTCAAGCCTTGTTGTTCATACTCTAAACATTCTCTTGTATCTCTCAGAAGTTATAATCGAGGCAACCAAATTATATTTGCTTTTGTGTTCCAGAATCATTTCATACTCTGATTTCATTTCACATTCTCGAATCATAACAACTACATTTGGTATCAAAGCAGGATTCATATAGTTGATCTCTCATTTTTCAAGTTTTCAAAAGTTTTTGAGTCTCGTTCTATATTCAAAATTTTCTGCACTTTTGATTCTGAAAATCATTTCTATTCATCTGTATTGATTTGATTTTGTTTTTAGGTTGTTAAATCGAGTGTTCCGTGTTTGATTTCTGGAAGTCTCATATATCAGATCTTAATTTTTGAAGCTTTTCCCAAATCTCATCCATACAAGAATGGCTAACTTTAATATGAACACCACATCTAAGTTTTCTCATCTTTTGGATAACTGGATTCTTCAATCAAAATCCCTATGTTAATCCCTGAATACTATGAACAATGGACTCACAGGTGGAGAAGTATCTCACGGGGATTGATAAAGATTTATTGTGGTGTGTTAAGAGTGGTAATTTTCATCCGTCGATGCTCTCTAATGTCAGAAGTGTCGGTTCTTCCAATGATGTAACTACTCAAACTAACAAGTTCAAAGAAAATGATAACAGGTGCATGCGTGAATTGAGAGATGCTCTTCCACATGTTGTGTATAACTATGTCTGTAGATGTTCTACTGCTAAAGAAATTTGGGACACACTGAAGGAGAAGTACCAAGGGAGTGAGAAAACGAAAAAGAGTTTTGTTAAGCAATGTCTACTTGAGTTAGGAGAATTCAAGCAGAAAGAAGGTGAGAATATTGAGCTTTACTACGATCGATTGAATGAGTTGATCTTTAAGTGTAGCAGATATGGAGTCAACAAGTCGACAATGGAGTACAACTTAACGTTCTTAATGGGGTTTCATAAAGAATGGCACAATGTCAGTTTGATGATAAAAACCCAACAATGCTTCGACAACTTTTATCTCAGTGATCTTTACAATGAGTTGAAGGCTCGTGAAAGCAAATTCAGTGAGATAGTTGAGCAAACGAGAATACGTTTAGGTGGTCTTCTAGCTTTGACATCGAAGGTAACGAATAAGGAAGCTGAGAATGACGAAGTTATGGTTTTTTATTCAAACAATAAAGTAAAGAAAATTTTCAATAAGACGTTTCTTTTAAAGTCTAAAACAAGTGAAGCAAAAGGAAGTTTGTCTGTGAAGAATGTGAGAGAGGAGAAGAAAGTGGAGAAGAAAGAACTTAAGTCTAAGGATGTGAAGATAAAGAAGAAGCTAAAGGGTGACTTTAGGTTCGACTACCATTATTGAAATGGTGTGAACCACATGGCTAGTGATTGCATGTTAAAGAAGATGGATGAGAAGAAGAATAGGGTGAAAGAAAAATCCTACTATATGGAGAGGCTTGAAGAGGTTAGAGAAAAGATGAAAGGTGTGTCTTTGGTGACTAAAGGGAGTGGTGAAGAGGATGGCTCACACCAGACTGGTCATCTGGATCAAACAATGAAGAGATGTGAAATCCAACTCATGGTGCTATGCATGCCAAATTTGAAGAGGGAAGTGAGGAAGAGTAGATGGTGACTGGAAAATGCTTCATCAATACAGGTGCTAATAAGTCTCGAATCCTTTGAAATTCCTTTTAGTTCTTATAATGCTATTTTGTCTGATTTCGATAATACTCTATTTTGCTTTAATGACATGCTTATCTCTGTTAGTAGTGACGCAGAAAAATCCAAATCTTTACTAGTAGATTGTCAGAAAAGACTAGGTCGAATTGTAGTAGGATAGATAATATTGAATTACAATTAAAAATGTGATGTGTGATAGAGAGAGTCTTCGTATGGATAAGTGTATTTTGCTAAAACAGAGAAACATATATTGTAATTCTGCTAAGCGACTATATGGTAAATTAACTGCTTTGCATCATTTGAAATATCTTAGTAAAGAACAAAATACGAAGCTTTTACCCTTTTTAGCTTACAAAAGGGACACATTTGATTCAACTTCCTATAACTGTGAGAAAAAAATATCTGAATTTGACAAGGTCCCAAATGATTCATATGCATATGGTATAGTTAAAATTGATGAATATTCAGATGCAAATGATCTTGTTGATATTGTGAATAAGACCTTGACCAAAAACGAATAAATACAAATTTTGGAAAGAACTAAGACATCGACATCTAACTTACAAATTAATTTTGCTGTTATCGAAGATGATTATGATAATATCAGTGAAATTAAAGAGGAGGAAGTTGTTGATTGTTTGAAGTTATCTGACATTAATGTCACTTCTATAAACAAGGGTAAAGAAAAATATGATGAATCTTTGGTTAATGTGACAACTGGAAAAATTCTAGAACAAACAAGGCCTAAACTTTAACCATGTACAACTGAATTCGCATCGTAACTTTAATACAATAGATCTTAGAAAACCAAAAGGGGATGCTTATATAAGTTAAGATATAGATATATGCTTTGAAAACCATGTGGTAAAGAAACTTTGGAAACACAATCAACATAAGAACGTATAAGACAAAACAAGCTAAAAATAGTCAAACAAGTCAAACAAAATCCAATGGTTTTAACATAAAAGCATGTTCATGTGCCATGACTTGAGTTTTCGGTTGTAAGGCCCCATACCTTTGTGATTTCGGTTATGTATGACCGAAATCACCCTTCAAAGATCAACCATAAGACCCAAAACTCATGATAAAAGCCCACTAAGGCCGAAAACTCCACATACTAGGACCGAAATCATCATTTGTGAGTGTGTATAATGGATTTCGATCATGCCTTGACCGAAATCACCCTCATTAGGACCAAAATCTCCATAAATATCTTGATATGGTGACACTTGATTGGTTGAAATTACATTCCCAATGTGATGTTACTCTTACCAATGTAAACATCAACTCACTGTCACCTCTTATCTTTTATCCTCCTATATAATACACGAATTAGAGACTATTCTCAAAACCCAGTCATTTAAAACAATTCACACGTTGAGTTTTCTCTCCATTCTGCAAACCTTCCTAGAACACCAACAATCATTCCCAGGAAGCCTTTTAATCAACATTGTTCCTTAGGATTATTGTAAGTATTTCTTATATAATCTAGTGTTTATGCAAACATTTTCATGTTAGTCCATTTTATTTACACATTAGTATGTATTAAAACTATTAGGATTCAATCATTTTCAAGTGTCCGTAACTTGAAGATCATCGTCATCACTTCGTTATCAAACCGCAAAATCATATAAGGTGGGTTCATACCCCCTACATTTTATATGTCTTTTTCTATATTTTATGGGGGAATGGGAGGAATACAAGTCAACACAAGAAATCTTGTGTTAAAATACAAACCGTTATTTATGCTTTCTTATATTTTATATACATTTTACTTGAAAATGTTAAATACATACAATAACGTTACTACCAAAATTATAAACTTTTACATGCAAAATTGTTAAAACGGAAATGTTTTCATTTCAACGGAACATACATTTACAAACTATAATTGGTATACTTTGTGGAATATTCACGATATTTTACCCTTTAAGGACAAAAAAATAATTATATAAAAATATAATTATTTTTACGTTATATAAACACTAAAGAAAGAGTAATACATACATTTACAAGAAAAAGAGATTTTTCATATGTAAACCAGTTGATACAAATTTTGTGAGAAATTTGGTTTCCCCATACTTTTAAGTACATAACTTAAGTCATGTATTATAACCAGAGTCTCTTGTAGGAAAAGCGTGATACATGTACGTATAGATCTATACGGGACTGACAATATCTCACCTAAACTATTAGCTACAGTTAGACCAGCAGGTTTGGGGTGACAAATATTATAACATTCTGACGCCTGAAGAACGTCGTCACTGGCCAACTAATCGCTAGCATGGTTATAATAACTCACATGGGGTATTAATAACACATTTTGGTTTACGGGGCTAACAAACACTTAAATGGTTTTATATACGTATAAAAGTACATACACTATTTTAAGTATGGAAAATACTTACACATTTCAATCTTGGAACATTTAAGACTATAATTTATTTTATAATATATATATATATATATATATATATATATATATATATAGGATTTTCTGGAACAAACACTATCATTGTACGAACAAACGGCTTACAACTCTTTTTTTATGAAATTTATCAGATTTTCTGGAAATAAACACGATTTCTTTACACGGAAAGATTTACAGTTACTCTTACAAACTCTTATGAACTCACCAATTTAATTGTTGACACTTTTTCAAAACAACTTGTATTCTCGGGGAACCAATAAAACAAGTAACCATCAGCTTTTGAGGATGGGACGC